GTGAAAACAGAACTTTAGAAATGTCTGTAAATTTATTAAAAAGAAAAAACTGAAATATCATATTGGCATAAGTATTCAGACCCTTCACTCAGTACTTCGTTGAAGTACCTTTGGCAGCAGTTACAGCCTCGAGTATTTTTGGTTATGACGTAACAAGCTTTGCACGCCTGATTGGAGGATTTTCTGCCATTCTTCCTTGCAAATCCTCTGCTCCATTCAGCTTTCCCTTAACCCTGACCAGTCTTCCAGACCCTGCTGCTGAAAAACACCCCCACAGCATGATGTTGCAACCACCATGTTTCACAATTGGGATGGTATTGGGCAGGTGATTAATGGTGCCTGATTTTTTCCAGACATAACATTTAGAATTGAGGCCAAACAGTTCACTCTTGGTTTCATCAGACCAGAGAGTCTTGTTTTTCACAGTCTGAGAGTCCTTCAGGTGCTTTTTTGCAAGCTCCAAGTGGACTTTCATGTATTTTGCACAGAGGAGAGGCTTCTGTCTAGCCATTCTACCATAAACCCCAGATCGGTGGAAGACTGCAGTGATGGTTGTATTTCTGGAACTCTGTCCCATCTCCACACAGGATCTCTGGAGCTCAATCAGAGCATCCATCAGGTTCTTGGTCACTTCTCTTACTAAGGCCCTTCTCCCCTGATTGCTCAGTTTGACAGGGCAACCAGCTCTTGGAAGAGTCTTGGTTGTGCCAAATGAGGCTGTTTGGGGGTCATCCCAAGATTCCGCAAGTGCTCCAAACAGGAATTCACAGGATAGGGGGTCATCCCACACATCTGTTATTACTCCAGACAGGGAGACTGACTGGGGGTATCCACATAAATCACACACAGTTATAGAAAGGGAATTCCATCAGGGGCACGCTCATAATTCAGCAGTTGCTCCCAAAAGGAAGTCAGTAGCAAGGGGGTTTGCCATGGAGGTGGCTCCTGAGTCTGGCACCTCTGGCACGTGCTCGGGGGCTACGGAGTACTGGGGTACTTCTGCCACTGAGGCCTCTCCATCTGCTGGCCTTGGGCTCGAGGGACAGTGTTCCCAAGAGGAGTCCATTGTGGACTTGGGGACTTCCACCTCTCTGAGGTATATTGGTTTGGACTCAGAGGATCCAGCCAGTCAGCAGCTGGGTGGGTCAACTGGGTATTTGGGGCATCAAAGTCCTGGCCTGCCTAGCCTGGTAGGCGAGCAGGTAGGCCAGGCACCCTCACCAGGGTCACCTGGACACTTAGGGCATCAACGCCCTGGCCTGCCTAGCCTGGTAGGTGAGCAGGTAGGCCAGGCAACCTCACCGGCCTTTAGAAGGTCGCAGCGGGCCAAGTGCCCACTTAAACATCTAGCAGATTTCGTGAGGTTGCTGTCCACCCATGAGGAACCTCGCTATGAGGTCCCTGAATGAGGAAATCAACATTAAGTAAGAGTGTCATATGCTATTTTGATTTGGGTATATTTTAATTGAGTTAACTATTTTTGAAAGAGGTTTGCATGTGTGCAGACCCAAGCATTTCCGCCCTCCTTGCATTGGATAATGCATCTGTATAACACTCTCCCTGCATTGCATAATGCACCTGTGCCTAAGCTATGTGTGTTCCATCTAGGGGGGAGGGGTGTTGTGTCCTGAGCCTGCAAGGATCTCTGGAGCTCAGTCAGAGTGTCCATCAGGTTCTTGGTCACTTCTCTTACTAAGGCCCTTTTCCCCCGATTGCTCAGTTTGACAGGGCAACCAGCTCTTGGAAGAGTCCTGGTTGTGCCAAATGTCTTCCATTTGAGAAATATGGAGGCCAATGTTGTTGTGTCCTGAGCCTGCAAGAGCTGAAAGCAGGCTCAGAATGTTGCAATTGGTCCCGGGCATTCCAAAAGCTGCCCAGGACCAGACAGAGCGGCACCAGCCTTGTGCGCATGCGCAAGGCACGAAAATGCTAAATTCTTATTGGTTAACACTGTCTGGGTTTCTGACCCTATAAAAGGCCTGCGTGCCTTTTGCTGTTTGCTTGGTTGTAGGAGAAAGAGAATAAAGTGTTTGTTGTCACCATGTGTCTTCATCACTTGCACATGAACCACAAACACAACAAATGTGCTCTTAGGAACCTTCAGTGCAGAAATTTTATTGTAGCCTTCCCCAACTCTGTGCCTTGCAATAATCCTGTCTTTGAGCTCTGCAGGCAGTTCCTTTGAACTCATGGCTTTTGCTCTGCTATAGTATGGATTGTCAGCTGTGAAGCCTTCTATAGAAAGGTGTGTGCCTTTCCAAATTATGTCCAATCAATTTAATTTACCACAGGTGGACTCCAGTCAAGGTGTAGAAACATGTCAGCAACTAAAGAGAAATGGGAGGCACCTGAGCTAAACGTCATGTGTTGCTGAATATTTATGCCAATATGATATTTCAGTTTGTTCTTTTTAATAAATTTACAGACGTTTCTAAAATTCTGTTTTCACTTTGTCATTATGGGGCACTGAATGTAGATTAATGAGAAAAAATGAATTTCAACAACTGTAGAATCAGGCTGCAGAATAACAAAATTGACAAAAGTGAAGGGGGTCTGAATACTTTCTGAATGCACTGTATAATCATGTGCTATTCCTCTTAAAATCAAAAATCCCATAGTCACTTTCTCTACAATATTCCTGCTATTTCATTTTCTCAGCTAAATCTTCTCTCTTGGTTGAAGCCAGAATTAGCTCACTCTCTTGGGCCATCCTCCATCTTCACAAGGAGAAAGTTATCAGCAACCTAAATCATGAAGAACCATGCTTGGAAGAATTTGTCTCTCACCATATGTCAGGATAATTAAACTCTCCCTAAATACTACTTCATGTCTCCTTGAAGGAGCTTTGGGGCCTCTTCCAATGCTCTTATGAATTGTGTTCTTTTGTTCGAGAGAAGCATGCAAAAATGAAATGGCAACTGTCAGAAAACATGATCTTAAAAACCAAGTGCCATTGACAAAACATAATATTTTAAAAAGTGAAAAATAGTTCCTGTTGTCTTTATAAATGAAGATTAATGCAGGTTTCAAGCACACGGTCTGTGTGTGCTTAATCATGGTGATTCACATTCATTTCATGACAGACTGAAATTGTGTTAATAAAGAATTCTGTTTGATGAGGTTATCCATTTTTTTCTAAAAAGGAAGGCACAATGTATATATTTTTAATTAGGCTTGAGATTTTTTTGTTATTTATTTTATTTTAGATATTTCAACATTTTGGGAAGGGGAAAAAAATAGCCAGTTAGCTAGACAGAAGCCCCTGCACCATTTAACTATTCTATAGGAAGCTACAACAATTAGCAGTGCTCTGGAAAAGATTGCCCTGCAGACAACAGAATTCTAGAAGAGTATGAAGTTTTCTTCCAGACAGTGGGGAGCCTGAGGTTCTCTCTATTCCCTTGCCCTTGCTTTCTTTTATCTTTAAAAAGGAATTATTATATAGCACCCCTCTATACTGTGTATGCTACATAGCTACTGCATGAAATGAAATAAGAATATTCTTACATGTATGTGTAAGTAATGAAGGGAATGATTAATAAGGAATAAAGGAGTAAATGGGTGAATGGGAGAACAAGGCAAGTCTGTCTCTATGCTGAAACTCTGGCTTATATGTGTGCTATAAAGGAAAATTTATGTTGCAGCAGAACACCTCAAGCAATATTTTGTTTTCTATTCCTTTATATAATGTGATTCTTAAAGCTTTTTATTACTTACTATTTTCTATTCACTCACAATCACATGTCTATGGAGATTCTCAATCATCCAAGTCATGATTATCCCAAAGATGCTTTTCAAAAGATAACGAGACAGGGCAGACATGATAGCAGTGTTCCGATACTTGAGGGACTGTCACAGAGAGGAGGGGGTCAACCTGTTTTCCAAAGTACCTGAAGGCCAGACAAGCAATAACGCAGTGTTTCCCAAACTTGACAATTTTAAGGCATGTGGACTTCAACTCCCAGAATTCCACAGCCAGCGTTGCTGGCTGTGGAATTCTGGGAGTTGAAGTCCTCATGCCTTAAAATTGTCAAGTTTGGGAAACACTGCAATAACGGATGGAAACTGATCAAGGAGAGATTCAACCTGGAAATAAGGAGAAATTTCCTGACAGTAAGAACAATCAACCAATGGAACAGACTGCCTTCTGATGTTGTTGGTGCTTCATCACTGGAGACTTTCAAGAAGAGATTGGACTGGCACCTGTCAGAAATGGTGTAGGGACTCCTGTTTGGACAGGGAGTTGGACTAGATGACCTACAAGTTCCCTTCCAACTCTGTTATTGTATTCTGTCTTTATGTTTACAGTATATATTTATACAGTATAAGGCACATTCTCTTATGGATCATTCAATAGATTGCCAATGTAAACAAAGAATGGGAAAAATTGTGAGATTCACTGTATTGGATCCAGAAGTTTTCATTTTTTCCAACTAATGCAAAATGTATCAAGTTTTGCAGATTACAGTATTTTGGAGAGTAAAATACTAAATGAAGAACACTAAAGGAATCTCATGAAATTGAATAAAAACACTAACATTTAAATAAACAACCCAATCATATGCATGTTTATTTAGAAGCCAACCCATCCATCAAGCAGAGTTTACTCACAAGTAAATTTGCATAGGATTGCAACATTTATGAAAGTGCAAATTTATGCTCATGTGGGACAAAATGTTCTAACATTATATATTTCAACATCACTTATTCAAAGGTAGACACCTGGAGTTTTCCAGGTATTTTGGACTGAAATTCTCCAAATATTAAACATGCTGGTTGGGAATTCATGGACTTGTGATCTGAAACATCTGGACGGCATAGAATTATCTACACTTAAATATTTATTGATGGGTCTGGACTCAATTGGGTTAATCAGATGATTATTTTAGCTTAGAAAATCAGGCTTCCAAAGTGAGATTCCCAGTACCGTGAATAATTTGAGATGACCCCTCATTCTATTTCCTCTGTCACCACCAAATGTAAAATTGATTTTATAATCATTGTAGCCATTTTTTACTTTTATTTATAGTATTAAAAAAATTCAAGTGTTAAACAGTCAAGAGTTCTAACATCCAGACAATCCAGAGCAAAATTTTACAATCTTTTTTATGACAAAGTAGCAGCTTTTCTACTGGACCTTGTTAGGCATTAGGAACAAAGGATTTAAAGTACTTTATTGCTAAAAAGTAAACAAATACACTGGCAACTGTATTTTGTCTTTTCAGTTCTAGGTTCTCCATGCATCCAATTTATAGTATTTGAAATGCAAAGGACATGCAAAGTGAAAACAGGAAAAGAAAAAGGCAGGCCATAATGTCAAAAGGAAGCTCCAGGAGAAACTGAAAAGAAAGAGCCATTTTCTCTGTCTCAGGGGAAGTTTTCTTGCCACCCACACCCAGAAAGCTCTTTAGCTCATCAACCAGAATACCTGGTGGCTTTATTTTTAAATGGAAAGTTCTTGTGAAATACTCAAATGTTACATTTACAACCATCTTTACAAAATGGAGCACACAACAGCATTTTCTTTGATGTTTCTTTCCATAGGAAGAAGACTGAGGCAAGGTTAGCATGCTGCTGGCACTATCTCAGGAGAAGGAACAAGGAAGGAGGGAAAGAAGGGGGTGGCATTACTCCAGAGTCATCTGGATCACTGGAGGCTTTTGAAACCCTTTCTCAACAGCACTTTGCACGCCTTGTATGTTCCATGATGGGGAATTGTATTTCTTTGATGATCAAACTGGGGTCAGAAAATGGAGAACAGTTTTGTTCTGTGCATGCACAGCAGTGGCTTATATCACTACTAAACAGCTGAAGTTTATCTCCAGAAATGGTGTTAAAATAGATTTTAGGAGCAGCATTACTTGAAATAGTATGATTTAATAATTTGCAATGTTTTGTTTGGGGGGGGGGGTTTTCTTGGTCACAGATCTCTTGAGGATCAGAAATACAGTGGAAGGGCTATTGATATTGTATAATTCTGTTTCCTTTCTTCTTCACCCCCATTTTTGTTTATGGTTTATCTTATCAGAGAAACCAATTTTACTTACCAGTATGTAGTATTTTCCTCGATAGGGAAAAATATTTATGAAAACATTGAAACATACATTTATGCGCACCTGCGCAAGAGGGAAAGGAAATGGGAAATGGACAGAGAGCACATTACTTTAGCAACACTAGATCATTAATCTCTAGGTATCAAGAAATTTAAAAGGGTGCTGTTCAAATGGAAAAATGCTAACTGGAATATTTTATAACAAATTGTCCTGAACATAAAGCCTGTGTTTCAAGAATGCTTAAACATAATATTCAGTGTGGACTCTGGCATTCACATACAGCAAAAAGGCACCACAATATTTTTGAATGATTTGTAGTCAAAAATTGGCCCATCTTTTAAAATGTTTTTGTTAAGTTTCTGTTTTTCTGAGAAGCTGTAAATCAAGATGTTACATATAAATAGATTCCTTACAAAAAGGTCTTTGCCATTAGCTCTTATAAGACATCATTGCTAAAATGAAAATAAAACATTTCATTTGTTATATTTTTGCATTTTTCTATAAAATAAAAATTTGTCTTTTCTGTCACATCATCTTCCTCGGTACTGATGTATTCATGGAAGTGGACATGAGGAAGAGTGTGTAACACCTAGGGTGGTGTAAAACCTTGGCTGGATCTGCTGTGTGTTTGTTGGCTTTCACCCTGTGTGTTGAATCTGCTGAAAGAAGAGAAAGTTCTGTTGTCGTCAGCTGAGCAATACAAACCTGTGTCCGTTGCCTCCATGTTCTGATTGCTTAAGAAAGGGGTGCTCTCAGCTATCAGCTCCTCATCAGACTCACTGTATGAGGCGCTGCTGACTGAAAAGGAATCTCTAAGCATTCTGCCTCTGTGAGACAGGTGGCCGTTCAGTTTAGATCTCCTCCACCGCCTGTTGCTGCTGCCTGTTCTCTTTGGCTGTTCTAGTGCAGTGATGTACTCATGGGTTGTCTCATATTCATCATCCTCTGTGATGCGGAAGGGACTGGAGGGCAAGCTCCCTGTGCTCTCATTCAGATAGTTCCTTCTTTGGTAGTAAGTATCATACCTCTGTGCATCTTGACAGGGGGCTTGGTACCTTCTCAGCAATGGCTGTTGATCCTCCACTTGGAAATTAATGGATGCAGCCGGGGGGAGTGAGACCGCATGAACAGAATTAGGAGAGGTGATTTCAAAGGTGGGCATGTGGGCTGAAGCTGAGCAGTGGAAGTCAACAGGGGACAGGCGTGCTGGGGTAGTCAAGGCAGAGACATATCTAGAAAAAGAAACAATGGCATTGGTATCCAGCTTAAATCTTAGAAAGGAGGCTGAGTCTTTCATCACAAACTTTTCCATCCCTATAAACACTCTGAGCAGGATAAAATGAAAGGGAATTTTCCCTGAGATTGAAGTAGATCTACAGAATAGAACATGATTTTTGTCATAAGAGACATAGGTTTTTCGGTCTAAGATAAGAACTGGCAAGATTTTGGAAAGAAACAGGAATACACAGGGTTATGATAGACATTAGGGTTAGTTAATAAAGTATCTAACTTATTCATGGAGCAAACTGGCAATTTAAATTGGGTATTTGGCAATGTTAAAAAATCTGATACACTGAAGTACCTGAAAATCCTCAATATGGTTTCTCTTGGGTTGAATTAGCTACAATGCTAAATATGTCAAAACAAAAGTCCAGAGAAACAGATGGCTCACCTATTATTACCAGGGTATAGTGAATGTTCACCAGCCTAGGGCAAAGTACATATCCAAGGGTTAATTTTGGAGAGATTCATAGCATAAAGTTTTGAGTTCTCCTTTCTTCTTTTTACATTTACTCTACATGCTTATTAAAATTTATATATAGTTTTCAGAATGTTTTGTGAGCTTAAATGTATACAATATGACAATGACAATGTTTGTATTAATGTTTCCTTTTTCTTGTTTTGTTTTCATTATATTTTCATACTGATCAGTGATCAAAGATAAAAATATGTGTTCTCTCTCCCACTGACCTGAAATATTTATATACTGTATGTGCTTTTTTACTTGGGATGGATACAACCTATGTAGCAGCTACCTTTTTATCAATTTTTATTATTCATAATTAATTTTTATTATTCATAATTACTTTTTATGACAGATGTCCTTGTAACATGGCATTTTTATTTACAGCCATCAAAATAGCAAAAAACAGTAAAATCAAAATTAAAACAGCTGAGTCACTAAAGAAAAAGAGAAAATTACTTTAACTTATCTCTAATGCATGCCTGCTGTGAAAAAACAAAAGCTATCACTTGTTATCAGAGTAACCAGGCAGGTTGGGTTAAAGATCAAATTAACAAGTAGCTAAAAATAGTCCCCCAGATCTGAGCCTCTGCCCTCATGATGCTCAAATCCAGTCTTAAAGCTACATTAGAATCACATTCAGGCATTTCCAAAATTGCTCTCAAAATTGTTGATTGTACTTTCTGTGCTGAAGCCCAGTTGGAATAAGGGTCATTGGCACAATCTGCAATAACTGTACTATTATTTCTGCCTCAAATAGTTTCAATGAGACAGGGATATAATGTCCTCCTTTGGAGCAAAAATGGGTTAAAGCAGCCACAGCACTTGTCTGTGGCACTTGGGTTATATAATCTAAATGTATGTTTCTCCGCCCACAAGAGTCTAACATTATCCCTAAGTCATTAGGAATAGTATATTATGTAAGTTGTTTGTTGAAGTATAAAATACCAAATCATTCAAGTAGATTTTTACTACTTACTATTAGATTAGGTGACTAATTCTCAGTATTAATAAATGCACTTCATCGGATTATTAAAGTTTTTTATAAGATTATGTGTGTTGATATTTGATAACTATATGACATATACACATTGGCAAGAATATTTGATATTCAGTCAAATAGCCTTGCTCCTTCCTGCACATATGCCATTTTCTCATAGATGAAAATTGTTTTATTTCAAATATATCCAGATATCAAAGTCAATGCAAGTATCTATCTCAGACCACTCTCCATTGAAATGTATAGTTTTATTTCATAATAAAATGGAATATTGTTTTAAATAGATCACTGTAGCACAATCATAAATTTACAAAACAGATGGAACAATTTTTTTTTATTTCAACAGCAATTCAGTTGCATTTTACTGTATTATTGCAGGTATGCTTTTTAGATGAAGGGTCAACACCAATTGAAAATGATATCGTGTTCCCTTATGGTTAATCATAATTCCATAGTTTTCAATTGTTCTAATATTGCTGTATTGTACTGATTCTTTGTCATCTTAACTGGTGATTTATCAACATTTGTGTAATATTAAAAATAATAATTTGAAATTTACATTTTTGTTGTTACTAATGTCTTTAACGTTATTACTGCATGTTTCTTTAATAAAACTTAACAATGACAAAAAGAACCCAAAGTGATTTGAATTCAAGATAAAGAAACCTGATACACAGTTTCAGGGTTATTGTTTTTTCCTGATCAATTTTTTTTTCACAAGTATTACCATGCTCTTATACCTTGCTAGCAGGTAGGGAAGGGGTAAGAAAGAGATGGAAGGAAAGATTGAGATTATAATTAGAGAATCTCTTTTTCCTTTTCACTTCTAATCATTTCAGGAACACCAATACAAAGAACATGACAGAAACTATTTCAGTGGTGTTCTGTGTCTGGCAACAGGAAGAATATTTTGTTGGCCAATTCTTTTCTTTCTAGACGCTTGGGTTTGATTATATTTCAAACAAACCCTATGCTCATTAGAGCCCCACTATATTGGACCATTTTTGCAAGAATATGTGTTTTACTAGAAATGCAGCTGTACAAGAAAAAAATTGGCCAATAAAATTAATCTGCAGTAAAGAAAATCTGATAATCAGACTTAATTTTGAGCCAACCTGCATATAAATATATTTTAAGGTGAATGAAAAGAGAATTTGCTAAGCTAAAATAAAAAGGACTGGACTTAGTTATAATAAAGGAAAACAATGACTGGATTATATATTTCAGGAAGATTTAGCATCTATTTAAGTAGTTCTGCAAAGGTAAAGATCAGTTTATTATTTTTTATTCTTTAAGATATCAATTTAAGTAGCCTCCCATCTCACAACTGTAACTTTGGATAGTGCATGCAGCGTTAAAACCAGACAAACTTACCAGTACATAAATACATAAAATGGCCAAAAACAAACCCAATCATTAAAAGGACAAACTTACAGTGATTGGCAAAACATGCACCTGAGAGAACACCCAAGTTTTTAAGGATTCCCAAAATGCTAATTTATCTGAAGTTTTACAGTAATGATTGTATGTCAATCTGTCATTGAGAGAAGCAGGAATGTCTTCTAGTTCCCTTACTTTTAAAAATGTATATTAATTATATTTTCTTGGTTGTTTGCTACAAGATACTTCTTTCTTCCATTGCATTTTTCATTTGCATTTTTTTTGTTACGTGCTTGTAACTTAAGTCACTTGTTGCTGATAAAAGTTGTATTGAAAAAAATATAGTTTAGGATTTTACTTAAAGAAAAGCTTAAGTATGTACTGCAAGGAATAACAGAATAATACAGTTGAAGGTCTTCTAGTCCAACCCCCTGAAGAAAAACATTATTCTCAATTATGTTAACCAATGAAACGATATTTTTGGGAAAGTGGCCCAAGTGATCTGACTCAGGTTTGGTTCAGAGCAGTGCAAACCATTTAATACTGAGGCACATCAATATAGATCATATTAAGTGGTTGCAGCAAAGGCACTGGGGATAGGTTTTATACTTCTTCTATCCTAAGAGTTATTTTAAAAAGTAGTTCTAGATAATTTCCAGAATCTGGATGAGGCTATTAGAATTCTGCTACACACAGACTTTGAGATAAAGTCTTCCTTTAGAACAGTGGTTCTCAACCTTTTTAATGCCGCGACCCCCAACCGGTCGTAAGTCAAGGACTAAACTGGTCGTAAATCGAGGTCTACCCAACCGGTCGTAAGTCAAGGACTTTCCCTGCTCGGGAGCGCCGCGCATGCGTGGTGCTGCCCCCTGCACCGGCCGGGGCGTAGCTGGCAAGTGGCAGAGATGGAGCAGGCCGATCACCGGCTGCTTTAGAAAATAATAATTTAGCATTTTTATTTATGTGTTAAGCCACACATCTCTCAAAAGTGACTTTATGTGGCACATGAAGGTTAAAACCACCACAACTGTTAACAAAAACCAAGCAATTTAATCAGAGCAATTCTAATAATCATTTGGAAACAGATCCTCAAAAAGCTGAGGATCTTACTGATTCATAATTTGATTTATTACTTATGTTATATAAACTTACAACCTGTGCTTATCCATCTTCTCAACTAACTCTTTTTTCCTTCTCTCCCCTTTTTGTCTTATGCTGTATTAGAGACTGGCCATTACTTGTGACTTCAGTATAAAAGCAGTGAAACGCTGTTTTGACAGGCCATTTTAGGGGGAGGAGGTATTGTTATTCTCGTAGACCCATTAAATATGGGACTATACCATTTACATCAATTTATGTCATTTATAGGATTAAGCAAGTGCATAAATGATGTAAACTGATGCAGCTGACAGAAACCATTGCAGATATTCTGAAAGCAAGGTAAAAAATCACCTAAATGTCACTGCCTCATTCAAACTACTTCGGATACCGAGGGAGATATCGAGATGAAAATTGGAACTCATTGCGCTCAAATTCTGCTAAATGGGGGACTGTTAAGTTGAGCTTTCCTTGTATAAATGATAATAACAGCAACAGAAAATGAGACCTCTCACTATGTGGTGAGTCCCGAAGGGAATCCACAGAATCTCTGTATTGCATCATTGGCCTCCGCTGTTCCTCAATGGAATAGGATGCTTCCCGCCGAGCATGAGCTTCCATACAAGCAGGACTGTTGCACTTGCTGGTTCCCACAGAAGACAACATCATCCCAGACTGACAATCAGAAGTGATGCTTTCTGTGCGGTCCAAGCTCCAGGTGTGGCTTTCATGTCTGTAAGTTAAGCCAAATGATAAAGAAGGGTAGAAATAGCTCTTTCCTAAACCTAACTACTTACTAAAGTGGACTTGTCTTTCCCAGCAAAGTTCCTGAGCCATATTTGTAAGGCTTATGAAATATGAGTGCATAAAATTATAAAGGAACAGGGCAATCTATGTCCCGTTGGGTCATTGTTTCAGAGATATTTCCTTAACAGATTTTTCAATGCCTTCAACAATGACAGAGCTTTTAATGTCTCGCCTTCACTGGGAAAAGTTCTTAAAAATTCAGGGAGATATTCAAAGAGGTATCTTCTTTTAAAATAGCACATGTTGAACTGTATAGCACAACCAAACATCAAGAATTGACCACAGGAAATGTTTTGTGTCAGTAGGTCATAAAATGCTTTATGATAATTATTATATCATAAAATATTTTATAAAATTTGCCAAATTTTAATTCCCTTGGAGCAATAGGTCCTGGATTTCAGATGCATTTTGTAAGTTGCTCCTTTTGAGATACCTTGGTTCAAAAATTCTTGCTCAATGATGCACTGTTTCACCCAGTTAAAAATTACAGGCATGAGAGTTTTACTACTATATCGATTTGTATAATATTTTTAGTCGTATGTTATAACGAAAGTCTAAAATAAGATGAAAGTGCACATTATATGACAATCAAAGATAAGCTAAAAGTTTCAGATATTCTTCTATTGAACTACATACCTAGTACTTGGAATCTGACAACTGGACAAGATAAAAATGGATTCTCCGTGCCCTTACTATGGCTATAAGATTGATACTGTAGCATTGGAAAGCTAAATCTAAAGCCCCTTTCATTCAATGGATTGAAGACCTGATAGCACTTTCCACCTATTAGTAAACTGCCTGTAGATGTAGACTCTGTATGGACAAATATAATTATTGATTATATTGTTAAACCAACCTTTATTACTTTATTTGTAGCTATAATGAACTATAATGAAATATGGAACTCATTTATAAAAATAAAATATATTAGAAACATGATAGTTATATAAATATACTAGAAATATATGCATATCTGAATGGTAATTGTATTAAATAAGTATTGTAGAATTATAACTATTTTCCCGTTAAAATGATATATTTTACTTTTTCCCTTTGTTGTATTTTTTCCACTTTTCTAAAAAGTACTTTCTATGTCTTTTTTTCCTTTGACAATTTATGCATTTTTATCATAATTATGATAAAATTATGGTTTGCTTGTTTTTTCTTTTTTGTCAGTATTCCACTGTTTATAAGTATCACTTAGGTTCATCTGTTTGGAAGCTTTTATGTAAAGGCTAATGAATTTTCCACTTTTTTCACAAACGTTGTGTAGGACACCAAACAGCAATACATAAAGATTCATATAAATGAAGGCCAGTGGTACAGCCAGCTCATTTTAGAGCTTCCTAATTTTTTTTTATTAAGACCTAATGATTTCGTGGACATAGGGATGAATGGAGCTCACCAGTACCAATACCAGCTGAAGCTGATGCATTTAAGGTTGAGTAGTGGAAAAGAAAAAAGAGGCCTGATTTCTTAAGCTTATCATAACTGGGGTGCAAAATATTGGACAAATACTAGATGGCAGCAAAGAGTTATACTTTTCTGCTTTTCCTTCTATCACAGTGGTTCTCAACCTGTGGGTCGGGACCCCATTTGGGGTCGAACGACCATTTCACGGGGGTCACCAAACAAGGCTGTCCGCCATTTTCCCCCCTTTTCTTTGGCCACGCCCCTGGCACCCGATGATGTATAAGTGGTTGGGGGTCACCACAACATGGGGAACTGTATTATGGGGTCGCGGCATTAGAAAGGTTGAGAACCACTGTTCTATCAAGAGTTCCCCAGATCTCTTTCCTGCTAAAGTTAAACCACTGCAGTGCCTTAATGCTTGTATCTTTTAGTCTTGTCTTATTTTTATTTTTACTTTTAGTTCTACCTCGTATATTCTGCAAATGGAAAAGCTGGATGTATATAAAACTAAAATAAGTTAAAAACAATGACTTAATGCGCATCGCTATTTAAATGGTTCTCTGACTATTGTCTATCCCAGGGGTAGGCAACCTCGGCTCTTTTATGACTCATGGACTTCAACTCCCAGAATTCCTGAGCCAGCTGGCTCAGGAATTCTGGGAATTGAAGTCCATGAGTCATAAAAGAGCCGAGGTTGCCTACCCCTGGCACTGTATCCCAAAGTGGTTAAAAAGAAATCTGAGCCGTGAAACTTTCTGCCCATACCTTTGGCTTGAAGTTGGGGTTCCTGTGGAAGAGGGGTGTGATGGTGAACAGGAACGGCTCCCTGAAAAGGTGGTCTCTATTTCTCTTCTTATGACATGTTCAGTAGCAGGAACATTTTTAGATATATACTGGGGAAAAGACACAAGTTCATAGATATTAATTTGGGAGTGACAACATTACTGTATTTGTAGGATTTTTATAAATTGTATTAGCTTATATTTCAAGTTTTGGAGAATAAGAATAAGGTTAGCTTTATGTATATCTAACATTCCTTTTTTCACTTTTGGGGCTTCATCGCTAAGGGTATTTCAATGTTTTTTCCCTAATGGCCTTATAACAATGGACATTCCATTTGAATTGCAGTATGGTAAAATAATAAGAAAGCTCAAAAATTCAAATAAGCACGTAAACATTTGTGACCAATATAGGCAACTTGCAGATAATTCTGTGTATGTGCAGTTAGGGTAAAGCCATCCCAAAAACTCGGTAAAGCCTGCCAAGATCTTAGAAAGCAATTTGACCAACTAAACAGCACCAGAAAGTGCATTCCAATAGAGATGAGGCATTTGAAGCTAATATTGATATATGTATTTAATTTCTTGACTAATTTCTATTTGGACTTTTCAAAAAAAGTAAAGGTCTTAAACAGCTTATAATTTAAAACAAGACAGTTAAATTCCTCTACCAAAATTGAAATTCAAAATGTATGGAATAAAATTGAAATCTGCTACCACTGATATAATTTATTCTTTGTGGCTGACCAGCCGCACCCGGTATGTGGAACTACAGAACATCGACATGGAAGGAAGCATGCAGTAGGGTGTCTCAAGATTCTGTCTTGGGCCCAGTGTGCTTCAATTTCTTTGTAAAAGATCTAGATGAGAGGGCTAGAAGGGGAATTCATCAAATTTGGAAAAGACACTAATTGGGGGGAGGGGGAATAGCTAACACTTTAGAAAATAGTCTAAACTGTATGATGAATGGTTAAGAGATCTAGGTATGTCTAATCTATCAAAGAGAAGGATTTGGGATGACATGATGGATGTCTTCCAGTATTTGAAGGGCTGCCCCAGAGAAGAGGGGGTTGACTTATTCTCCAAAGCCCCTGAGGGCAGGACAAGAAGCAATGGGTGAAAGCTTGTTAAAGAGAGATCCAATCTAGAACTAAGGAAAAACTTCCTGACAATGAGATCAATTAACCAAAGGAACAGCTTACCTCCCAGAATTGTGGGTTCTCCATTGCTAGAGGTTTTCAAGAAAAGATTGGACAACCATTTGTCTGGGATGGTATCCTATGCTGAGCAAGAGGTTGGACTAAAAGGCTTCCAAGGCCCCTTCCTCCCTTCCAGCATTATAATTCTATGATTCTATTTATCCAAAGATTTGTAAAGACATGTTCAATTTAAAACAGAAAAGTATATTTGGCAGGGCTTCTAAATGTCCTCTTGCAGGATCTAATCTGGGCTGGTCACCGGGACCAGAGGTCTAGTCTTCTGAGCTTTGAAACCCATGCTGGAGCCCATCTTCATGGAACTTTTTTCTAGCAGAATGTCACACAAGGAAAAAATAGATTGGATCCAATAGCTTAAAGTCCTGACTCTAGGAAAGATGGGAAATCCTACATTATAAAATACTGAAAACACAATGGCAAATCATTCTCAGAAGCAGGAAAAATCTAAACAGGCTACTATGGATAAACACAGAGCTCCTCAAATACTGAAAAAACAAGTGGGGCATGCATGGGAAATTAAAGGAGGTATACAAGAGTCAGGAATATTGTGGCTTCTAGAAAGTGTAGGTATTTTGTCAGAAACACTAAAAATCACAGTAGCCTGAGGCTTGCAAGATATGCCAAAAACAAGAGAAGACAGTTCTTTGGATATGTTAGAAATAATCATGGGATAAAACTACAAGAAAATAGATTCAGACCAGACACCAGGTAGAACTGCCTGAGTGTATCAGCTATCAGTCAGTTGAACTAGTTGTCACACAAAATGCTAATTTCTTTGTTGGAAGTCTTGAAAAAGACCAGATGGTCATTGCAATTACGATGTTGCAGCATCCCTCAGTCCCATTTACAACCTTCTTTGCCCATTTCCTACAAGCAAAGTCAATGGGGAATGAGAACAGGAGACTGATGTCACACTTAACATCTTGAGATTCACTTAAATTCCAGGGGTGCTGGAATTTCTGTTGATAAGTGGTATGATCGTGTGATCAGCATTGGCTGAGTGACAGAAATTTAAAGTCCCAATTACTATTGTTAAATGAGAAATACCAATATTCAACAGAAATCAAAATGTGGCTGAGCTTTTAAGATTATGCTTCAGTGTCTTCCATGGAGTAAATCTCAGGCCAAATGGTCCAGCCTTGTCTTGTGTGTCCTAGAACCTCTAATTTTGCTTCCTTGCTGAGCCAATTATACTATATATAATTACTATATGCCGAGGAAATGTTAATATGCTAAATCAGCAGTTCTCAACCTGTGGGTCGGGACCCCATTGGGGTCGAATGACCATTTCACGGGGGTCGCCAAACAACGCAGTCCACCATTTTTTCCCCCTTTTCCTTAGCTGTGCTACTCCATTTTATTCTATTGGCTTTTGAAAGCCAATAGAATAGACTCTCTTGAATAGAGTCTAATTCTATTGGCTTTCAAAAGCCAATAGGAATTGTCCAGGCTGCCTCTGCCCTGCTGAGCCCGTCAAAAGTCCGATTCTGCAAATGGTGCTGCAAGTTGTCTGCAGCGAAGGCGAGCTGTCTGGAAGTTTCCACCCCTCCCTGCTGAGCAACTACTAAAAATGTAAGTAAAAGAGGGCCAGGGGTGGGAGGTGGGAGGCCGGCGGGCGCAGGGAGGGTTGCTGGCACGCGTGGGGCCCGGCAGGTGCCTTACCTCCCTTGGGCTGGGCCAGCTGGTGGCCCAGCCGGTGGTCAGCCTGCGCCGTCTCTGCCGCTTTCCAACTACGCCTCGGCCGGCGCAGGGGGCAGCACCACGCATGCGCGGTGCTCCCGGGCAGGGAAAGTCCTTGACTTACGACCGGTTGGGTAGTCCTCGACTTATGATCGGTTGAGTAATCCCCGACTTACGACCGGTTGGGGGTCGCAGCATTAAAAAGGTTGAGAACCACTGTGCTAAATGATTCCATCAAAAACCAATTCTGGAACAATTCTTATAAGCAGGGGATTTATCCTATATTCTAGTTCAGGCAAAATTCAGTTCCATTCCTTCCAAAGAGGTATGCAAGAAACAGAAGATCATACAAAAACAAATGTGGTAAAAGGTCAAGTAGGAAGCCATTTTCATGGAGGTTTGTGAAAGAGAGAAAGGCATCACAGAATACTGGTAATTCCACAGAGGACTGCTATTCTGACACTTTGAAGAGATATGGCTATGTAGTAGCTTGTATAAATCATATGATGAGATGCTTTCCTTATAAGAGAAGAATCAGTTGTATATTCAAAGTCCCTCCCCCTTCCAAATTCTAGCCACTTAAAATCTCAGTTGGCATCCTTAAATTTTGGGGGCATGTTCTGCCAGGATATTTGCAGCTTGTTCTTAGAAGATCTAAGGAAGGCATTAAAGCAGCCACCCAAGCCTTCACATTGTGAGATTGCTTCACAGCTTTGAGAAATGAAGCAGCACTTAAAAGATGAAATGATTTTATAGGTCTCCTATGAGGTATGTTGTGATGTCTCTGCAGAAATGTTAAAAAAATCCTCCTGCAAATGTATTTGCCCCCACACACACCTCTGATCATAATGGTACTGAGTGGTAGAAGCTGGCTTGAGTTGTCTTTGGCAAAGGTAAGGAAGGAAAGAGAGGTTGGGGGAATGAAGAAGGGGAAGGGGAAGGGGAGAGCTGTAAACAGAGGATGGAAGGATGGATCTAAAAGACGATTCCTAGTTCTGCCTACTATGCTTTCTCAGGAGGCTTTACACAGTGAATTAAGAAATGTTACTCACATCAGCCATCTGAATTTCCTCAGGGTCCAGCCGAGGATGGCTAGGGCCATTCGCTAGATTCCTGTTCTGATGGGCTGGACACATGTTTTGCCGCAAATGATTGTGCATCTGATTTCTCTGTTTTCTGAAGAATAAGTACATTGAAAGGTATTGATTCATATTGCAACAGTGGGCCAGTTTTACTCTGATGGACTATATAATCCTGTTAAGTTGGGGGCCCTAGACTGAATGGTTTGGCTGGAAAATTGCCTAGTTTTGATGCTTTTCTGCTTTTAGTCTTGATTTCCTAAATTTGGAGTTTTAGTTTTCATATAGAGAAAGACTTCATTTTGCAATTCATATATCATTCCTAGTTTTCTGTTTAATGCTAACTTTAATTATGTTTAAGCAGTAACTATATGAAGAAAAAAGTTATAGAAAGTTTAAAGAAAAACAAAATAACAATAATAATTAAAATATATAAAAATATATAAGGTTGGATCTTATTCTGAAATATATAATTATTTTCTAGCCATATTGATAAATTTAGTTGTATCAGAATCTCACTAATCTCTAAATAAGTTAATTTACAGTACAATACTTTTTTATTGTTAATAGTCCATAAACTTAGTGCCTCTATATTTTTGCAATATTGTTCAATATTATTTAGCAGTTGTTAGAAAAAAATTAAAATTACAATTTACAATTTTCACAAAGAGGCACAGTAATCTTCTAGTAGTTCATAGCCTGATTTTAAAAATATAATTTTGTATGTACGCATGATTAAAATTACAAAAAAATCTTTTTAGATTCTTAACATTTCCAGTATTAAATTTATATTTTATTATAATATATAATTTATATATTAGCTAACATTGCATCAAAAATACTTCTGTATTTTAGCTTGCTTTTGATTTATTAGCTGGTATACTGAAATGCTATTTTGTTTGTTTATAAGAATATTCAAATCTTGTCTCTGTTTTTCTTTATGAACACCATGTTTTCATTTGTTTTCTATTGGAGTCATTTTATAACCATAGTTTACTGATATATCTAGTTAGAGGAGCTGAAATTTGCATTTCAAATTTAGTCATGTTTCACAACTGTTTCTATTTAGCTAAAAGTTATATCACAATTATGTTATAGTTATGAAAATACTGAAACAAAAGATATTTCCTATCCATGTGTATGTGAAATCATATTTAGTACAGAAAGAACGAAATGATGATCAGTCAGGTTACATAGGATTAAATTGCCCATTTCATGTATTAAATTAAGTCATTAGGAAATAACCGGCACTTAAAACCTTTTGAATTGTATAGAATATTTTTAAAAAACCTTTGTGAAACAACAGAATTTCTTTAAGTACATAAATTAATGGATGGAGCAAAGTAAATTTAGATTTTTTTTCAGTCCTGAAAATAAGATTATTTCGCTATATTTAACATTTTTATATTAAGGGCATAACATTGAACTGTAATTAGTTTTACAAATGTGAATGAATTTATAACTTGGGTTATTTTGTCAAATAAATCTTGCAATTGCCTGTTACCCTTTATTGATAACAGAGGAACTCATTGTTAAAAAGTTAAAATAATTTGGAAGCAAATTGTTATCACTGCAACCATTCCTAAGATTATTGATTCAATGACAAAATATAATATCCTTTTCTGTAAGACTGATTAATTCATTTCTTAACTTCCACAGAAACATTAAAACTGGATAATAAATACTTCATTCTCCTATACCTCCACTGAATATTAATACCTTATGGGTAGAAACTATTCTTTAATTTCCTTAGAAGGGAATATTAATAGCCAGTACTTCTGAGCATTTAAAATGTGTCCTAAACATCTTTCTCATCCTCTCTGCCTGTCTTTCTTACATATTTGTGAAATCTAGAATATCAGCACTGAGTGTATTTTTTTCAAGAATGTTTGACCCTGTAAAGGCTGTTTCTCAGTGGGAATATTTGCTTTGTGGGGCAGTCTCTCTTCAGAGACTGGATTTGCTCCTTTATTCTTATCCTTTTGGAAGTTGTTAAAAATGGAGCTCTTCTAGAGGACTTTTGGAGGGTGATGATCTTAACTGCGTAAAACAGTGAGTATGGGATTAATATTCAAATTGTTCCCTTAATTTGTTTTGGCCTAATTTTCATGTATTGTAGGTTTTAGTTTAGAGTATTATGATGGATGCACTGTATTTTGCAATTGTTAACTTCCAAGAGTCAAGCTGATCACATATTTGATAGAGGATTATGTAAGAATACAAAGCTCCTCTTTCTGATATAGGCTCCGTGGCAGTCATATCACTACTTCCGAGGTGAAAAAGAAAGCACTGTATAGTATAGATCCAAATAGTTTTCCCTTTTTTAATCTCTGTTTTCTTCCCACATCTTGTGTAGTTTATTTGTTTATTTGTACTCCACGTTTATTTTTTGCAAATAACTCAAGTTGGTGAACATATCCAATAGGCCTTCTTTGTCTTATTTTCTCCACAAAAACAACCCTGTGAGGGGGGTTGAGCTGAAAGAGAGTGACTGACCCAAAGTCCCCCAGCTGGCTTTCATGGCTAAGGCAGGACTTGATGTCATGGTCTTCTGCTTTCTAGCCTGTTGCCTTAACCGTTGTGAAAATGGTGCACAATTTAGTTTTATTCGTTTTCTGTTTTTTCCAAATACAACTGGCAATTTAATTTCAATAGGGATCTGTGATGTGTTTTCCTGGGAATTTATTCTAACATAACCTCTTTATATATATATATATCCATCCAGAAGCTTTCCTATAGCATAAGTTTGTATGATATTTTTATTTATTGTAGGAGAAGAAGAAGCAGAACTAGGGGGTGGAATTAAATGTATCATCAGTTTAGAGTCCTTGTGTTGCCACTAGAGATCCAAGTCCAGCCCCTCGTGAATTCCACTGACCCTTATCTAGCACCAATTTAGTGCTGACCACTAGTTGACTAGATTCTTGGGTATAAGTTTGAATAAATCTTCTATGCTGCTACTTTACAAATAATCCTGATTCTTTGTTTACCTGATATTTATATACACATTTTGATGTGTGTTTCCTTAACATACAGTTTTGTACACATTTTGATTTGTGACCAGCTGTGCAAATTTTGAAGAAGTATATATAACTGTTCTTCAGAGAGTTTACTGGATTAGGAAGTTCAAAGCACATATATTTGACTTAAAATGTGAACTATATCTTTCTCAGATCTTGGTATTTTTAGGATAATCAACACTACAACTATAAAAATGATACAAATTTTCAATCAATAGTATAAAGAAAAGGCATGTTTTTAAAGCTCACCAAATCTCATAAATAACAATCTTTAATAACTTTCAAAGAAAGAATCTTATGTTCTAGACATAATTTCAACATTTGGTAACATTCAAACCAGATACAACTGCTTTCTTTGTCATGTGCCTGCTTTATGGAACAGCCTTCGCCACGATATATGGATAGCCCCAACCTGGCCCTGTTGGCCTCAGGACAGGGGATGAAGAGCTGGTTTCTCCTCCAGGCACAGGGACCAGGAGGTTGATGGAGTGGTTGATGGATGGATATGAGTTTTATTAGGGCTATTGTTGTGTTCATTGCTATAACTTTTTAATATATGGTGTTTTTATTCTGTTTACCTCCCAGAGTCCCTTCATAGCTGCATAAGTTTGCTTAATAAAATAAATAAACTGTTCCTTCTGAAAGCCTAAAAAATTTAGGCTATGAACTTAGAATTCTCACCAGAATAACATTTGTTTCAAACATTGTTTGGCAAGTCATGAAGAAATGATAATAAAGACAATCTATACATAGTATTATATTTCTCTTATTTGTATTTTTTGTATTTCTATTATTTCATTGAAACTTTTATAAATTGCATTTTAATGACTATTAACCAATTGTTACATTTCTTGTGGTTTTACTTAATAATCCAATTATATTTACCAAATAATTTTACCACTTATTTGTTGCCTGTATTTCCAAAATATATACATCAGTTCCACATGAAATATGAATATGAAATATGAATTTATTTTTGTTAGCTGATAAATTTTCTGTTGCAAGATTTTAATTTTCTTTAATTCTTAAAGCACTTAGCAATTAAAGTAACTTTTAATTCATTTTAATACTTTAATCATAAACTGCATGTTTTTAAGATTGTTTATAAACCATACCTATGTATTTCTAAAATGTTTAAACTCCTTTCTTTTTCATTTTTAGTTCTTTCCCTTCTTTTTCTTTTCTTTTATTGTATTCATTGCATTAAAATTGATTTTAATATTAATAAGTAAAATCACTCACTTGGTTTTACAGTAAGCTACTACACATACTATTCCCACAACAAGCAACGCAACACAAATCCCAGTAATGGTTAAAACTCTCTTCTGATACAGCTCCTCGGCTTCTGCAAGGACATAAAAATAATTGACAATTAACATTTTTCTCAAATTATAATTGCATTCTGAAGATACAACTACAACTTTCCATGGTGGAAATTGGAAACTATCTATATATTTTCCTGAGATAGAATTTAGAGTTTTATATCTGTTTTAATATTGATGCTCTTCTTGATTTCTATCCAAACCTTTCCTTTCCCTTCTAGTCCCTGTAAAATCAAAACAAGAAGAATCGGCTGTGCCTTCTTTTTTCGGAGCCCCTCCTGTGTGTGTGTGTGTCTGTGTGTGTGTGTGTGTGTGTGTGTGTGTGTGTGTGTGTGTTTAACCTCATACTATATTGGGAATATTTTCTAGAACTTCTTTGAAGTATTCAGTTGCTGTTTTCTATGTATTTGGCTGAGATATTACAGAAAAATTACTGTATATTGAGCCACAATGAATATATTTGTTGTGATCCAACTTTGGTTGATAGAGCAACCAAGATGGTTTTCCTTTTTTCTGCCCTCTCTGACCCCAATTTAATGTCCCCTACTTTTAATGCCACTTTCTGGCAATGCTGAAAAGTTTCAGAAGCAGAAGTACAGAATGCATGCTCAGATTACAAGGGAAAAGACTGTACATCACTGCCTGTTTTAATATCTTTCTTTGCTATTCTAATCAAAGGAGAGATATGAGAATTCATGTGGCAGCCAATGAACATATGAGAATTCATGTGGCAGCCAATGTAATCCCAACATAGTAGAAGGGCATGCAGAATATATGCTATTAAAACATGCATCTCTATTGTTGCCCTGAAGACAAGGGAGGAAAATATATTAGTGAATCTCCTAGAGGATGAGGTGAGGAAGGAAACAAGTTAAGCTAATTAAAGACATTAGTGAGAAAGAATCCTTGATATTTTCTGGTTGTTTATAAAGTTTCTGTCAATTTTCTAGAATACCAAACTCATTGTGTTGGAATGTCTAGCAAACCCTAGGAACATAGAGGGAGAACTGTTACCGTGTTTCCCCAAAAATAAAACCTACCCCGAAAATAAGCCCTAGCCTGATATTTTGGGGTGGGCCTAATATAAGCCCTACCCCCTAAATAGGCCCAGGGGTGGGCGTGGGCAGCACAAGTAGTGGTGAGCATGCGGTGGCCGGCGGTGGCTGGCAGCAGCCGCAGCCCGCTGGTCCCTTGGTGCAGGTAAATTTCACTCAGTTTCCAAGCGTCCCATAGGCACCCAAACACTTTTCACCCAGATGGAGAAATGACGGAGACTGGAAGCTTTATCTGCTTGCAAATGGGATGCATGGAGAAGGTGTTTCCAAGCACCCCATTTGAAAGCAGACGAAGCTTCCAGTCTCCCTCTGGGCGAAAAGTATTTGGACGTCTATGGGGTGCTTGGGGCAGCTCCACCCCCTCCCCCTCCTGCTTGCCTCATGGCAGCGCCACACAATGCGGCAGACCACATGGCCTCCTGCTGGATGGGGCTGTTGGTGCCACTGCTGCGATGCGAGGCAGGCATCAGGGAAAAAATAAAGACATCCCCCCAAAATAAGACCTACTGCCTCTTTCGGAGGCAAAGAAAATATAAGACTGGGTCTTATTTTGGGGAAAACATGGGTAGAAAAAAATGTTCCTTAGTTCAGGAGAGGGGAGAAGCATGAGAAAGAACATAGAAGTAATACCACCTTAGTTATGTTAGGTATAAGTTCTGGTTAATAGCTTTGGCAGGCTTTCAAGATTCTTTTACATTAGTCTATTAACCATAAAGTTCATTCCAGAGTCCAAATGGTTCTTGTTTCCTGAGTTTGCCAGCCTCAAAGGGCTTGACACTCAGTGACAGTTAATTCCTTTACTGTTCCTAGGTAATGGGTAGCACTGGCTGTTTAGACTATATATGTTTTGAACATGATTTGGAAGAGGTATTTCAGATAATATACAACTGCAAGAATTAGCAATTCTTTGTGATTCATTAAAGCAACCCCTCTTTATATCTAACTGCTCTACAAGGCCAGAAAGAAAAATTAGTTTAAAAGTAAATAAAGAAGCAAATAAATAAAATCAACCTTCTAAATGAGAACGACCATTGAAATATATTTAGCTTGTGTTGAAACATCTACCTTATTCCTCCTCTGAGACTATGGGACTAGGTTACCTGTGATGATGTGAACCAGATTTGTGCAATAATGTTCCCACTGGATAGCCCCTGATGTCCCCATCACTACAGATATAAACAGAAAGAACTGTTATGCTAGTTTCCTGGATACAGATTTGTGATTTCATAGGCTTGCTTGGTGCTAAGGAAATATGCTTTTATTCTCCTACAGCTTTTATTTGTTTACCTGTTTTAAACAGTACAGTTCCGAAATTCAACATAAACAAGTGGGACCTGATTTAAAACGTACAGTGTGAAGTGCTCCTCAGCACTTATCCATTTAGAAAGGATTTTTGCTTTCCTATATGTATATTTTGTTGTAATTCTTCAAATTTTGATGTCACTTTAAACTTGCTGACCTTTGGGCCTCTATAATGTTTGGGTGGTGCTATTAAAGATGTGTTTGCATAAATATATATTATGACACAATATATAATCTCTCAGACAAGATGCACTTGAAAATCTAAAATCTGACAAAGAGGTAGCTTTGGTTTGGATGAATGATCTTTGTTGGAAAACAGAGAGTGTCTCTCCCTGATGAATACATATTGGTATCTTTTAGTAACAACATTCTGATTACCATCAGTATCATCTTATTAAAATGATTTGGTGGGCTAAGGATGAAACCTACAATAATATGGTAATTTCAAGAACTACATTTTGAAATTTATGCTTAACTTCCCAGCATTTAATAAGTATAATGACTTGCAAATGTTTACTGTACTCCACATGTTCTTTATTGAAGATCTTTGACTAATTAACTGATATGTTGATGACAGCTAGCAATATGTTTCTTTGGCATTAAATTCAAATTACACTGAATTGCTGCCTGCATACAATAACTGGTTGGATGAGGCCAAGAAACTGAGAAGCCCGAGTAGCTGATATTCTATATACAATTTATCTCCACCTGAAACAGCAGCAGAGTTTGAGGGTTCTCTTAGATATATTTTAGGAGGCAGCAAAAACATGAACTGTGATCATTTGCTAAGCTATAGGAGTGGTCTACAAGTGATCTATCAATATCAGCTATATGGACAATACGGTACATATTTCAGATTTTGGTTATATTCTATGAATGAGAGGCTCTCTGTACTATGCATCAAACATAATTCTTAAAAGAGAAGGCACTATCATTTTAAAGTTTATATCTTGCAGTTGCTTGTGTGTAATTGTCAAATTCTTTTGTATACATGTATTTTTTTGCTGTAAATAAGTGGAATTAAATTAAATATATTTCATTTAGAATGCACCTTTGTATCCCCCTTCTCTCTCATTCTCTCCACCCCATCCCCCCACACAGAGTCAGAATAGAGAGGGTACCTGAATTAAACATAATTCTGTAAATGAATCTATAGATTATCACTACATTTACCTTTCTCACTCTCTCTTAAGAGCATACAGAATTCTTTCTTAGGGCATAATTGAATATTATGTGCAAACCCATATAACAGAGTTCTTATGTCTACAGAAGAGAAAAAATGTACAGTATAAAGCAGGAACGGGGGGGGGTGTCTTCCTCCATCTATTCATCAACCCCCCTCTCCTTTGCTTCTGCATCAAAAATGAGGTTTCTTCTAGGGAATCTTCTTGGGCTTGCACCAAGGAGTAGGCAATACAGTAAATTGACCAAGCTGAACAATCTGATAATCTCTAAGGCAGGGGTTCTCAACCTTGGCAACTTTAAGACTGGCAAAGCTGGCTGAGGAATTCTGGGAGTTGAAGTCCACAAATCTTAAAGTTGCCAAGGTTGAGAACCCCTACTCTAAGGCAAGCCTTACCATCTCCTCCCACTGAAGAGCAGAAGGTGGCAGTAGGGTGTCTGGGAGAACTGAATATCCAAATGCTCTTATGTTAACAGTCCATTTTTTAACCTCAACAGAATATGTTTGAAAGCAGGGTGAACTCCATTTCTCTTTGAAGGCTCTTGCCCACAAAAGCAATATGAACTAGTAGCAAGATTAGCATAAAATCCTGGGATTCTTGCTGATGATGTTATGAATTATTATGCCACAATATGAGTCCAAGCTCCATTATTTGGACGTATCTATACAAATAAAACAGTACTAGCATTAAAGAGTCTAAAAAGAAACTCTACTTTATATTGAGAAATTTAATATTCAGTTGAAAGTTAGAACTAAGTAAAGAAAAAAAAAGTCTTAAACTAATTTTAGTGCCTTTTTCTAAATTCTATTTTGATGTGCTGAAATATTCCAGTGTACATAAATTAAATGCAATTACTGGAAATGAGAATTGGAAAAAGAAAACAAGACTTATCTTCCTCCCCAGCTCAACTCTGTTCCTGTATTAGCTGCCTGCTGCCAATACTGCCCCCCAAATCTTATGCCAGATATGCCACAAATTGCTACATGTTAGTATTTCAAGATTAGACAACTGTTTAAGCAAAAGACATATCACATCTATAATTTCACTCCTACATAGTCTCTTAAATTATGTTTCTTTAGATGCTACTGTGTACGTTGATTCTATATTATGTCAGTTGTTTTTATTCAGTCAATTCATGGGAACTACTTTGGGTGTGTGTATATATACATACATACATACGTATGTATATATGTATATCTATATATGTATATGTATGTATAGGAATACATTGCAAATATGTGATTAGTATATAAGTATATTACTTTATTCTGACTATTCTTAAATATATCTGGAAAAAAATGTGATTACTCTTCTTTCAGACTTTTTTAATCTTGTGCCACCCTGCCATCCCTAATTCCCCCAGATAGAAGAAATGTCTAATAACAGTCAAAATATCCCACATTTTCATATATTGGAAATGCTTTAAGAGAGTCCTGAGCCTTTGAAGCAAAATGAACTTAAATGTAGATGAGCAATCAGAGG